TCCTCCAGAGTCAGTTTCATTAATTTCTCTTCCAAGGTACTTCTTAGAAGTTGTCAAATTTATTTCAAAAAAGAGTTTTGTAATATGCTTTCTATATCCTTTTAAATTCTGTAAAATCTGTGGTAATGTCCTCTAAATTTTGATACTGTAATTTTAAAAATGTATAATTGATATTGTGTAATAGGAAGAAAAGGTCTAAAGGAGTAGGGGAAGTGGGAGGGGTAGGGGAAAGGAAAGAAGGGAAAAGAAAAAATATGAGAAAAGAAAAAAAAAATGGAAGCAAAGTCTTTGCAAATAGGGAAGGGTGGAGGGGGTGAAGGGAGGGCAAGGGAATGGGGAAAAAAATAAGAACCAAGATACTCATGTAACAGTACAAGATCCCAGTGATGAATGTAACTATTTTATACCTAAAATGTACCAATAAGCTAAATGGAAAAGAAAAAAAACAGAGACATACATATATGGACTGTATTGGACTGACTACTGCTTTCAATAATTTTTGAAAACATCTATGGTGCTTTTCCCCTTATTTTCTTAATCCAGAACTCATACAGGGAAAAAAACAAACCAAAAAAATCTAGTATTACCTGGCCCCGTGACTACTGTTAAACATCTCAGAAGCTAATTTTCCTGTGTCCACAGTTTTCTGGCCCATCTGTTCTGTCCCTCCCTGGGGAGATTTTCATAATCTTCATGACCATTGCCAAAAGGCTGTCCTTTTCCTCCTCAAAAGAGGCAGAAGCTTTTTAGTTTGATATGATTCCATTTGTTGAGTCTCAGTATTATTTCTTGTGCCACTGGGTTGTGGCCCTAAGAAAGTCCTTGCCAGTACCTATGTCTTCAAGAGTTTTACCTATTTTATCTTCCAGTAGATTACGCACTTCTGTTTTAACATAAAGATCTTTGATCCATTTTGATTTTAGTTTAGTACACGATGAGATATAGATCTAGACTGTCTTCTTGCATGTGGCTATCCAGTTTTCCCAGCACGATTTATTAAAGAGGCTCTCTTTCCTCCAGTGTATATCTCCATCAACAGATGAATTCATAAGGAAAATGTATTTATACACAATGGAGTACTACACTGCCGTAAAGAAAGACAAACTTGAGGCATTTGTCGGTAAATGGATGCAGTTTAAGAACAATGATAAGTGAAATAAGTCACACAGGAGCTCAAATATCACATGGTTTCTTTTATATGAGGAACACAAAGGACAAAATAGAAGAGAGATGAACAGGAAATAGGGAGAAGATCAACTTTCCAAAACTACAAATTCCATTGTTCTAAAAATCTTTCATTATATGCTAGATTCATTTATACTACTAATTTGTCTTAGTTCATTAAAAAGAAAGATTAGTGTTATTATGTTTCTTTTTTGTAAGAATCTTTTTGGTTTATATCCTGTACTCTGAGTAACTGCTTTGAAGATAATGATACTCAGTGTAATAACTATTGTTATTCTTATTATTTGTTATTGTTATTATTTGATTATGAAGGTATTTTTATGAAAGAATTTTTAAAGAGAGGAATATATAGATAATCTATCAGCAATTTATAAGATGAAGCTTAACTCAAAGACCTTTAAGAGAAGGGCAAAATAGTGTTCTAGTATTTTTCAGAATGATTAAGGAAAACATGTCTTTCTGCCGTTGTGAATCATTTAATTTTTCAGGACTTCAGGGAAGAAGCCTCATAGAGTTGATGTGGAAGAAGACTTTATTATTGTCTCTTTCACTCTAGTCTCTTAGTCTGTTAATTCTACTAATTTGGAAAGCCCATATCCTAAATGACTTTATCCTTCACTAAACTCCTTTAGCCCTTCTAGACCTCTGTCAGACAAATGGCAGTAATGGAATTCATCTTTCTATATCCCTAACCATTAACTTTCCTGTGAGCCATAATCCCTGATATGCTAATGCCATGCCAGCTTGTTTTATATTTCCTGAATGGACTTGCCATTTCTTTTTTTTAATAAGAGCAGCTTGCAGTTTCCCCTTAAAGGCACAGAAAGGGCTTTTTCTCAGAGAGAAAGAGAATGGGAATGTTTTCAAAGCTACCTTATTTTTATTCAGATATAGCGAAAGTAAAGTTATATTCATAGCCAAAGTTTAAAGTGGTCTTTGAATTCACTTTGCATGCTTACATTTCAGAATGGCATATTTCATTTGCTGAAGAATTGTTTTAAATTAAATTAAATTTCAAGAATATTGTTTCTAGTTTACCTGCTGAAAAATATTTTGACTTCCTTTGAATAAAATGTATTACTTCATTTGAAAATACTGTTTTCCACTTAATCACTCTGACAAGCCTTTGAAAATAAAAGGCAATTTAAGTGATTAAACACAACTGCAAAAATATCTGAGCTCTTAACTTAAAAGCAAACATAGTGAACATTTGTTTATTCGGGGCCCAGATTTTTTATTCTAAATGCAGTATGGTGGAGGTCTGTGGTCTCCTTTTCAGCTATGCCCAGGTTTAATCAATAGAAAATAGCAATTAGTGGAGACTGGCTGATTTTATCATCGCTAGAAACTTATCTTACAATATGTATCACAGCAATTTGTTTTCTTAGGTTATTTTCCATGCTTAAAAAAATCTATTAGCTTTTGTTTTCTTCTTGTGCAAGGGATTGAACACAGGGCCTTTGCGCTGAGCTACTTCCCCGGCCCTTTTTTTTATGTTTTACTTTGAGACCAGGTCTTGCTAAGCCATTAAATTGCTCAGGCTAGGGTCAAACTTGTGATGCTCCTGTCTCAGCCTTCCAGAATGCTGCGATTACAGGCACGTGCCACCCCACCTGGTTTATTGGCTTAACATTTTATCCACTCATGTTTTATGGAATGTCTTCTAGATTATAATGTACCATGGACAAGAATTTTTATGCTTTTCGTTACCTTTTTATAAATCCCAGAATGCATTTGGCACAAAAGATAAGGTCCAAAACATGTATTAAATGACTGACCATCAGTAACTGCAGCCAGCTTCATTCTGTGTGCTGAGCCCACAGTGGGAAGCAAGATAAACTCAGGCCTCCTGTCCTGGAGCTTCTTTGAGGGGAGAGTAGCAGAGATTGATCATAGAAACGGATACCTTATTTCCAGGGCGATTGTGCTGTAAGTCAGAGGTACAAAGTGTGTTAGAGTTCTAGATAGGAGGAATCATGCTGGGAGGTATCTAGGAAGGGCTCCCTGAAGCAGTCGCTTGGACAAGACTAAGGAGGATTAGATAGTAAGGAGAGGAGAGGGAAGGCCCATCATTTTCTGTTTCCTCTGATTCCTTCCCTCTCGCTCGCACATCTCCCCGTGGTAGACCCTTGCTAATTTTGCTAATTTTTCCTGCTCCCCTAGTTGCTAACCATGCCTGGACCTCTGCCTACATCTGAAGTTTGTACAGGTCTTCTTTTAAGAAATAACCAATACTCACCTATTTAAAAAAAGCAAGTCAGTATTGTTTTAGAAACAAAGGATAAATATCAAAGAGAAAATAAATTAACAAACAGAACATCTCCTTTTCTGCTCCTTGATTCTGTCTACTGTGTGCTTAGGGAAGTGCCCCTTGATAAACAATAGATTCTGACTGGTTGACCGGCAGGCTGGTTGGTTAGTTGCTTGGATGGATGGCTGGTTGGCTGATTAGCTAGTTGGTGAGATGTTGGTTGCTTTGCTAGCTGGTTGGTTGGTGGGTTGCTTGGGAGGTTATATGTTGGATGGATGGCCAACTGGCTGATTGATTGGATGGTTATTTGGTGAATAAAGATGAGAGCAGTAGATCAGCATTAAAGTCAGACTTCATTTTATTCAGATACTAACTTCACTGACTTTGTGATATTGAACAATTTACCTAGCAACATAAGTTCTTTCTAAAACAATACTTTTCTCATAGGTTGTATTAAGGGTATAGGTGATATTTCATGTAAAGCTTTAGTAAGGTGCAGAGAACATTTTAAGAATATGTTCACTAATGTAGAGAAAACAAAAGGGCTGGGATGTAGCTTGGTAGTAGAGCACTTACCTGGCATTCATGAGGCCCTGGGTTCAATCCCTATCATTGCAAAAAATATATATAAATAAATAACAAAATTGAAATTTTAAAAGGAAAGGAAAAGTTCAAGTGTCTTTTTTAATAATGGAGCAAAATGAAAGCAAATGTTTATTCTCTACTAAATGTTAGCTCTGCTAATTTTAAACCTTCAAATATGTTTTCCTGCTGCAAATACACATGTATTTCAGGCCAGAAGTACACGTACCTTGGATAGAGAAAAATTTAAAAAAACTTGCAAGCACACAAACCATTTTCTTCTTTGAAAGATTAAAATTTAATCACCTCCCTCCTCATTGCCCTCTCATTATATTAGATCAGGGCTCAGGAGGATAGTAATGCTCTCCATTAAAAGAAGAGAGTGTGATATATTTTTTTTATTGACCTGAACGATAGTAGTTACCCAAGTATTTGCTTCATAATTATTAGCATATCAGAACATTATGTTGTATATCATTTTCTATATGCACAGTCATAACATGTGTGTAAGGGAGGTAGGATTTCACAGGAGAATGTGATGGGATAGGATAGAGCAGAACAAATTGAAGCCTGATCCGTGCAAGGAATATGGAAGTGATAAACCCTGGCTGTAAAAAGGAGGAGATGAAGTTTATTCCAACTACCACATGTCACAAATGGAGCGCCTATAGTGGCAAATTAGTAAACACCCCCGACCCTTTTTTTTGCTAGTCTATGCAGATATAACCTGCCCGGAAGTCGCTGTAGGATCTTTCTGTGCCACTGGCCCAAAACTAGGTGTGAAGAGCTGTCTCTGATGGGCTGTTTCATATACCTGGATGAGCACAGATATAGCTGACCCATCTCTTCCATCCATCGTGGTAAACAGCCATGCCACGGTGCAGAGTTTCAGAGATAGCTACGCTAGTTTATTAAACGCTGTCAGAAACAAAGCCAGCAGTTATCCATCTTTATTACTAACAAGTAGCTTTTGGTGTTTCAGCGCCGGCTGGGAGATGCAGCGAAGAAAGCCATCAGCAAGCTGCAGGTCAGGACCATCAAGAAAGGCGACAAGGTAACAGCCTGCTCTCTCTTTGGTGAAGAGCTACTGAAGGGCAGAGGAAAAGAGGGAAGGGTGGGAAATGGAAACATGGTAACACCCTATAAGCATCGGGTACTTATACCCTTTTTATTAAATATTAAACTAATAAAATGCAGACAGTAAGACAGAAAATCATTGGCTGGAGAATATGGAAATTGAAAAGTAAGTGCAAGAAAATAAAGAAAGCCAGAATGAGAATAGTACACAAATGCACTACCTTAAACATGTCACAGAAATGGGTCCCAGTTTTAGGTTGGGCTTTTTAGCAGCCGGTGCAAAAAAAAAGGAAACAAAATTCAATATTAAAACAAGATTTAATTACCTTATTCTAGTGTCCCACATGATCAAAAAAAAATGCTTCTGCCTAGTAGTAAGATTTGGGCAAGGTTTTCTAGAAATCCTTGAAAGGAGGACAGGGCTATGAGCCGAGCTGTGTTCTACACTCAACAGTATAAATGAGGGAAAAGTGTTCAGTCCCTCTGAGACACAGTATTCACCTTTAGGTGAATTCCCTGCCTCCCCGGCTATGGAATGATGCCATGAAGCCAAAAGCTGTGCTACATCTAGAGGAAGGACAATGGATTCCAATACAGTGCATGAGTTGCCAGTTCCTGAGGGTATTAAATAGTAAGGGATTCACATCTCCACATGTGCACGAGATGTTGGCTCTACTATGAGTAATCGATTTTTCTGACATAGTCAATGCTGTTATTTTTCAACCATATGAAAACACTGTTGGGTTTAATGAGATAAAATTCAACTCCGCATGATGGCACATGACTGTAATCCCAGAACTCTAGAAGGCTGAGGCAGGAAGATCACATGTCTGAGCCCCACCTGAATAATTTAATGACTTAGCAAGACTGTTTCAAAAAGAAATTGGGGGTATAGCTCAATGCAAAGGCCCTAGTACAAAAAAAAGACAAAATTCACTTAAAAGGATTGCAAATTAGTAACATTTTGGTCGCTCTCACCCCCCTGTCAAGCAGAGACTAATAAAAGTACCAAGAATATTACATAAGTAATAAATTATGATGTATTAAAAAAGATTTATATACTTGAAAAAATGAAACTATTATTTTGTGTTTTTATTTACATATGTTTCACATATTAGATTACAAAAGAATGGGTAACTTAAATATCATTCAGACACTTCTCCATAAATATTATTTTGGATCCTCATGAGTTGGCTGTGTCACCACTAGTCATAATTAAGAGCATTGCTAGTAATGGCACATGAGAAAATGCTTTTCCCCACCAAAGCACTTGCAGTGGAACCTAGAAACAAAAAGTGGAGGTCAGAAGGATGGAAACTAAGGCAATAACCAGTAAAATATTGATGAAGAAAATTGGCCCGGGAAAGTTGAAAGCCTTGCTCCAGGCAAGCACCACTCCCCATGGGTTGACTTGGGTATTTACTTACGAATCCAGGCTAAGATCATAGCCTCATCTCTGCTGCTTCTGTTGCAGGAAACAGAGCCCGATTTTGACAACTGTGCAGTGTGCATCGAAGGGTACAAGCCCAACGACGTGGTCAGGATCCTGCCCTGCCGGTGAGTCACTAGGCCACCTGCTTCTCATTGTGTGTGGAGATGCTGCTGCCCCAGCCCTGCTATTTCAGTGGGCTGGGGTTTCCATATTGACCTTGCAAACAAGCAAACCACAGCTCTTTTCCTATAACCTTGGTCCATGAAAAAGCTTTCTTATTGCTCTTTGCATAAAAGCAGCAAACTGCCTCATGAGAAGGCTTGTGATGATGCAAGTTCAGGTACCAGTTTTCATAAACAGTACCCCCGTGGTGTTCAGAATCAATTCTGGGTGTTACCAGTACTGTTTGAATTAAAATCACAAACCCTGAAAATGTTTTGTGAATGATCATGAAGGGCTGTGCAATCAGAATATCAGGAGTAAGTAGGAAGCCAAAGGCAGATTCCACAACCTTTACTTTTTTACTAATGGAAAGAGAATATGACAGCAAATTCCCCCTGAATTCTGGAATATAGGAGAGGATACTAGGATGTAGATTTGGGAAAACTTTCCCAGTGTTTCTCATAAAACCTCTTCTCTAAGATTCACTAATCATCTGCATCATTTTTAAATTGTTAAAATTCAATAAATTTGAATACATTAATTAAATCAGATTTTTACAGTGGCATAGAAGCTGTCCTCCTTAATTGAAAATCCTTTTTAGTATATTTGCCTCTGTACAGTGTCCTAAACATAAAAATCAAATTAGGCCTTGATGAAGATTCTGCATTTAGAAAAATCAGCTTTACAAATTCTTAAGACAGTTTAAAATAGCTAGAGTAGAAAAAAGCATGACAGAGAGTTTAAAAACAGTCCAATGGTTCATAAAACAATGCAAATTTCAGAGATCTTTATTAGAAATACAAAAGGAATAAAATAAGAATTTGGAGGATTGGTTTAATAATCTCAAAATGACAGAGAAGTGACAAAAAAAAAAAAAGGAGCTAGACACTCAGATAAATGCAGAAAACCCCCAGGGGAATGGATGTTTCCTGAGATGTTCAGAGGCAAATTGATCATTAGGAAAATGAGGGGTAGGACAGTCTACACAAAGGCCCCAAGCAAACCTTTCAAGTGTGGTTGACTTTTTCTTAGCCTGTAGATGCCTGGCTCTGAGATAAATCATAAGCAGGGGGAGACTTGGTAGTGTCCTGTATATGAAGACACTTATGTAAAAGCCTTTCTAGACAGTAGGCTTAGTATTCACTCAGTGACTTCAGATACGCTGGCAAAGAAAGGCAGTGTGTAAACTGCAGAAAACCTCTGAGTTATAGCTTTCGTCTCTGCGGTGTTTTATTCAGGGTTTGTAAAGCCTAGTGTTTATAAACAAATCTAGTTCTTTCTCTTACTTTTCTTCTGAGAGATTGTTTAGAGCCTTATGAAGGTACTACATAGTAATAAAAAATATCCAAACCCAATAAGTAGCTGCTTTTTCCTGGCAATCTAAGGAACTTTATGAAAGCGATCAAGAGAATATGATTTAAAAATCATTTATCTATATTGCATTACTTTAGCTTTACAGTTCATTCAGTGTAGAATAATTTATTCATTTTTAAGCTCTGAGTGAATTTCATGCTACTACAAGTAATTGCTGCACGATGCATAAGAACCAAAGCATAGTTGTACCAGTTTAATTCATTGTCTTGGAACATTCAGCTTATTTCAATTTCTAATTATGACATTGCAATCCTTTAACAGCATTTAAATTTTTATTATTTCAGGCTTCCTTTTATAATACAATTTTTTAGAAATATTCATCTAAAAAAATAGTATTTTAATATTTACCGTGAAAAATGAAAGCTTAGGAATTTTAGTTGTTGATGGAAGCACTCACTGAGGCCAGTTTGGTCTGGCTTCTGGCTCCTGTTTTACATGATTTCTTGGTTCTCAGCACATTCCTTGATTCTTTTTGCTTCACATTCTTTACTGTTAATTTTTACTTCCTTATTGTAGATCCTGATTTAAATAACAAAATACCAAACATGGGTTACATGTTTGATCTCATACTAGGCACATGTATGTATTCTTTGAATAGCTCATATATTTTTTCCATGCTGATTTTTAAATCAAGATATTTTTATGCCTGTTGCTGGATTCTGCCAGATGGGTCTCACTAATGGATATTATCAAACATATCCAGTGGCATTTGCTTTTTGCTCGATAACTTCCTCTGGGGTATTATTAAACCTTTGCTCCTATGAATATCATAGACTCTCATTCCTGTTATTTCTAGGCTGACTCATCTACAGAATTCTTTGCATCTCCTTGGAGTAAAAACTTTCAAAAAACGTCCCAATGTGTCATGTCCCTTCTCTCAGACTTTTTTCTATGGCCATGGACCCCTGCCATACTGGGTACATCTCTTCCCTAGTGTTACCATTTAGGATGTCTTTCCAGATCATCTTGGTTCATGTTTGTACCATGGTTTTCTGAAACTTGTTCTATTGTTTGTGTCTTTCTGAGGTCCCTTGCACAAATCAACTTAGTAAGCACTTTCTCCTCTTTATCGCAGTTATGTTGATAATTAAAGTTATGCCATGCACATAGCCACCCACCTTTCATTTCTCCCCATGCTGTGTTGTCTGGTCCTTCTCTAGCACATGAAGACGAGGCCCCCTTGGCTGAGGGACAGACCCACAGCAGCACACAGAGCAGCACACCAGCCTTGGACAGGTCTAACTTCTGTGGTTTGGGTTTGAGCCTAATCCACCACCAAGGCGTCTTCCAAGATACTCTGGCTTTTCAGCATAGCACAAATGTAAAAACATAACTTACGCTGTTCTAGGGCTGGCTTTTGTGTCAGGTATTTGTTATTGTGAATTTTAGCCACAGAAGACCTTTTCTGAAGCATTTTATTGAAGCTTTATTGTCTTATCTGGAGAATAAATGGGCCTCTCGGATTCTTCTCTGGCTTTTGTCCTATGGCATCCTTATGTTCTTCATGATTATTCATTTCAGTATACTTAACTACCCTGTTTCAAACACTCAGTGTCTCAGAGAGAATATGAATTCACTCGGCAGGCCGAAAGTCCATATTCGCCATTATTAAGAAGCAAAGCAATAAATATGCATATGTATGCATCCTTTCCCGTCATACCTGTAAAATTCTTTCTTATCTCTAATTTATCACTACAACACTATCACTAATATTTGAGAGTCATAAGTTTTCCTTTGATCTGGCAAACTCCTCCATAACCATAACCGAGGAAAACTTTAAAACCCTCCTGCTAATAAGCAGACTTCATGATAAACTTTGTGATAATGAAGTGCTTCCGTTGAAACAGCAGATATTTTACAGCAGCTGTGTTCCAGGAAGAGTGGGAAGGATCCGAGGTGAAGATAGATGGTATGCTCCGTGCTCTTAAGGAAATAATGTAATAGGAAAGACGAGAATTTCCATAAGTAACCAGGATTCAGAATGACATGTGCAATGGTAGTAATAAAATATATTTTAAAAATTGGTGGAACAAACACCAGGAACAAGGAAGTTAAGAAAGGCCCCACAGAAAGAGGTACTATCTTCATATTTTCAAACAGTGATTTCATTTGTGCTTTATATATTCATCATAGAAAATTTGTAAAAGTGGATGAAATATTTAAGAATATGTCTCACTCCCTCATGCAGGTAATTACTGCTAATATTTGTATATATTTCTTTCCTTTAATGCCTTAGCCTGTTCTCGAAAGTTTGAGATATTATTGTCAACATCATGTAATACCCTGTTCTTTTTACTTACTGTAAGAGTTTGCTAGAAATAGTACTAGATTGTTTATGGTTCATTCTGACCTTCCTGTGGCCTTTGAAGCTGTAGTCAGAAGCTGGTCAAGCTCTTACTTACATAAACCAACCAAAGACCCTGAGACATTGGTATTATTTGTATAGACTCCTCTCTTAAAGGGCCACAATTTTTCACTGAAATAAAGCAGGAATGTGCCCTGGCCCTTGAGCTTCTTAATGACCCAACGAGGACCTGTTCGTGTTTAACCATTCCACCCCACCTTGGAAGACAGAGAAGCAGTTTCTCATCCATCAGTGCTATAGTCTACGTCTGTGACCCTCTGGCTTCTCATGACCAGAGGTGGATTACAAATAAACTCTAAAACTCAAGCTGTTGTCTAGTAGGTGCTCCCCTAGTGTTTACTTTGTTCACACGTCACTTCCTGCAGTCTTATTTTGTAAACTGTGCTTCCTAGAGATGCTGAGAAGCAGGATTGTAAGCTTCCATGGAAGCTGCAACTAAATACTTCTTAATTCAGGCAACAGCATCCATAATATTTCTACTAACACTTATCTGCTACCTGAACATTAAAGATAGAGATCTTTTTATATTGGAGCAGAGGGATGTAGCATAATAAAGCAAGCAACTAATAACATCTATTCCGAAGTCCTGCTAGTTGGAAAGCATCTTCCTTTCTCTTTTTTTTTTTTGTTCGGTACCAGGGATCGAACTCGGGTCCTTGCGCTTGTGCAGCAGGCGGCGAAACCACTGAGCTAAATCCGCAGTGCTTGTCTTTCTCTCTTTAACATCTAAACACTGAAACCGATTTCTGACAGTGTTAGGGAGAGCAGTGGCCCAGCCTGCTCTGGCTGCCCAGTCAGTGGTTCTGCAGGCCCAGGGCTGATAGGGTTCCTTGTTCTTCACAATAGGACCTGGGCTTTCATCACGTAAGATGATGTTAGATCAGATAATTCAGGACTTAAGTTTGGGCTTGTTTGGAAAATATTCATAGCATAAATTTTATCTTTTTTGACCACTTGCAAGTGTCTCGATCAGTAGCACTGAGAATGTCCACCTCCAGAATGGTTCCTCTACCCAGAGTGAACCCTGATCCACTCGGCAGTAACTCCCCATCCCCTCATCTGTGTGTTTGAGCATGTGTCACCCTTACTTCAGGTTTGACTTCTATGAAGAACAAAATGTCGAGCCGGGATTTAGCTCAGTGGTTTCACCACCTGCTGCGCAAGTGCAAGGACCCGACTCGATTCCCCGTACGAAAAAAAAAAAAAACAAGAACAAAATGTCTG